AGGCAGATATGACTGAAAACCTTCAACTGTATCAGTCTGATTGTAATCATTTGACTTAGGAGGCAGTGCAGCTATATAATATCAAATATAACATCAACATTCTGTACTTAAAGACTGCACTCTTTTTGGTGAAAAATCATTAATTGCGTCAGAAGCTTGTGGAAAACAGGTAGGTGTATTGGGGAGAAATAGACTTTAAAAACAAATACAGCGGGACCCTCAGGGAAACTCTGGATCTGGAAAGTAAATTAACCGCACTGAAAGGAGCCCTTTCAGTAGGGAAAATCCACCATCAGACACACTGTTCAATATGATCAATCAATGATGTTCACCAAATATGTACCTTCAAACTTCTTCTAAATATCCCGATTTTATATCATAAATACATTTGCTTGGGAAAGGAAAAATATGCAACATTGGCTCAGAAAAGCAAAACCCATCAAGTACAGTAACTGTGTAAATGTGAAACATGCCATTTGGTAAAAGAGAACAAATTTACTCTGCATATGTTCTCTATATAACTCAAGGTGAAAGAATACATTGTCAAAGCTTGTCTGGGATGTTTCTCCACTTCCCTCCGAAGAATTAGGTCAAGGCCACAGAAATAATCATCTGTGTTTACAGATTGCATTTTCTCCAAGTTTGCTCTTTTTACTGACAAAAAACAAAAAACAGGATGGATGGTTGCAGTGGTTTCTGACTAAATGCATGTACAAGGAAAACAAACATTATCAGACATCTTGATAAGGCCGCTTGCTTGCTGGTGCTGCAGTACAAGCTAATGAAGCATGCATGACCATGACAATATGAAGCTGTATAAGCTGTGACAAGCGTACTTCAGCGGTATAAACCAGAGCAATGGAACATCTCATGTTGCATGTCTATGGAGCCTGAAGCGTCCCATCGACATCAGAGATGATAGACCTCATTATGATCTATTAGTAAATTTAAAGAAAGAAAAAGCCAATAACACAATGACAAATGTTTTAAAAACAAAGAAACGTGACTATATACACAGTAGAAAGTGCATAACTAAAACAATTCAAGGTGAAAAAAACTTACAGGATTGTATGCTGAGGGCTTTCAGTTTACTTTTAATTTTATGAAGTAAGTTTTCTGAATATGTCCACAATAATGTCCATCTGTTGAATATGTGTCCCATAGCACTACAACATGCAGATGTGGCAGTAAATCAGCAAAAAATAATCACTGTGTTTCATGAAGTTCGTTCTCTGAAGTGCTGAAGTCTTCTTGAATAGTACTACATACCATCCACTGCTTTACATAGTTAGAATTTGAGCTTTTGTGCTCACAAAATAAATCAGAGTCTATCTGCTCTGCTATGTTTGAGTCTGAGGCTCCTGGGCTGCTGCACTCTCCAAAACCACTGTCAATGGTGTCCAAGTCTACATGAGGATACCCGTCTTCCGACTGCTCGTTTGAGGCGAATGAGTCAAGAGATACCCTCTCTGGTTCATTAAGCTGGACACGTGGCTGAAAGTTTATATTTTCCACTGATAAATCAATAGATATTTGGTTTTCATGATGTGGTAATACCCCACTTTCTCTATTCAACCTGGACATCTGAGGTTCCTGTAAATCATAGCCAGCATGTTCTCTGTTGTCTTCTCCAAATGAACCAAAGATTTCTCCATCTTGGTAACCTCTGAGGGTGTTAACAGAGCTCTGTGACACGACTTCCTCCTCAAACTCTTCTTCTCCAGACAGGGTCACAGTATGGATAGAGATATGTCCGGTGGAGTGACTGGTGCCCTGTGAACTGCCACCATCCTGGAAGAACAGCAGCGAGTTGCTGTGAGGCTGCAGCATATGGAGGAAATTGCCATCTTGTTTCATCTCATTGTCCTCCTTGTAGCTTTGTCTCTCATTCTTCCATTGGAGGACATCGTGCTGCTTCTCACTTTTCATCTGACCTTCTGTGTTGATCCTTAGGTAATCATACTCACTGAATGCAGGCTTCACCCACTCCTACAACACAGAAAATGGAAGACATTAATTTGGAGTACTGGCCTAAATACATACACACTGGCATATGAATGTATAAATAAATAGTTGCTTTCTTGCAGAGAGTTCGGTAAAAAGATTGAAAACACTCTTATATTTGTACAGTAAATATGAAGCAAGGGGAAACTGTTTAGTTTTAGCATACAACTCCTTGTCACTTTTACACTTCCCTTTAAGTATGGATTAAGAAGAAACATGTTTATTTGTGAGATTTAGTGTGCTAGCACGCACATTGTTTCACCTTTGGACAGACTGTTTCCTCCTGCTTCCTAAGATAAGCTAAGCGGCTGCTGACTGTAGACTCACTTTTGAAGGCATTTATCTTTCCATCTAATTCTAGTCAAGAAAGCATAATGAAAGGAGCTCATTTTTATATTTTGTGCTTAATTAAGAAACATAGCTGTAGGTACTGAGTAATTGGGAGTTTTACTTTGATGCACTTTTAATGTATGAAATTTACATGGCTTTATTAAACCATGTTACTAAGATATAAAGCTTCTGTAGCTTCTATAGACTTCAGCAAGATGCCCAGATAAGCATGAATCAGTTTCTTCATGCAAAGGTCACCACATCCTGCGGTACAGAGGCACACTGACTACTCTGATCCGCTCAGAAAACGCAAACAGTCTGCACCACAAAAGTAAGATAGCACACTCAAACTAGAATCCTGAAGATGTGATGTACAAAAAATGAAATAGCAGAGGAACTCTCTTTGAACAGTAGCAAGGATTTGCACCTGTCAAAATGCTCTACACACTACAGACGTGTTGTTCCACTCTCACACTTTCACCTACTACTAAACAATATCTAGGATGCTGTTGCATACATGTGAATTATGATATAAAATTAAAATATGTTTTATGAATGTAATGTGAAAGTGCAATATCCACATGCTGTGTATAAGAATGTAAATATGAAACGAAATATAAAGTATCATAAAAATAACTCTCTATAATGGGGGACTGGTGGCAAATTTAATGTAAATTGAGTTGTGGAGTATTTAGGAATAAATCTCAATCTGTCATAAACACATGCAAACTGTATTATGACAGAGATTTTGTCAAAATACAGATGCTATTGCAGACAGAGGCTCAGCATTTTTACCATCTGCCTAAACTAAACTCCTTTGGAGTAGATTGTAGATTATTGTCAACATATTTTATTGCCTCCTTTTGTGTTTGTGTGTTTTTATGCCTGTAAGGAAGCTTAACTCACCCCTCGAGAGTATTTTAAATATAAATTATAACACAAAATGTTTCTCTTTCGGCCAAGTTTAGCACCTTTGGAATAGTGAAGAAAAGTACAACAAAGCAGTGCTAAATAAAGAACTTTTCTGTGTCACATTCTCTCTAGTACTTCCGCTCTTGTTATTTGCTACATTAGCGCACTCTGCTGTCAAACATTTGTAACTGCATATAAGGAGGAACAGTAACAAAATCAAATATTTTTTGGCAGAATACCCCAATACAGTAAATGTGATGATGTTGTAATTGATTATTGATTTATTACCAGACAATATCTACACTCTTGACAATACTGATATTATAGTGATAAAGTATATAAGCCAACAACACTCAAACCTATGGCTGAAGATGGTGAAAATAAGTTTTGTTTTGTTCTGAAACCCAAAAACCATGATCTTATTTCCTGGGTTTCAGCTGCTTAACAGCAGTTCTTTATTGGACAAATGACAAGCAGATGCTCAGTCATTTTAAAGTTCTTTAGCATTATTGTGTAGCATACAAATGTTTAGGTAATTTTAGATATTTGGATGGGTTTCATGTTTCTTTTGTTTTTTTTATATATTAGAGGGAGTATATTTCTCATCTCTGGGTGTCAAGAGACAGAAAGAATGATTTACATTAGGGGAAAATAAAAAAAGGTTATGGAAAATATAATCACAGAAACATCAGTAAGAGAATAAAAAATGTAAACCACATTATTCTCACTTTGTACCCCTATAAAGTGAAAAAAACAAGTCTGACAAAATGACACATCAAAGATCTGAAATAGATGTACCAGGGTTATTTTCCACTGGGGTGGAACAGGTTGGGCTGTCATACAAATATCTACCCACAGCATGTCAGACAGATGAAAAACAAAAGCCTCTTGAAGCCCCTGCGCACTGAGTCATTTATAGCACGAAGGCCCTTAAATGTTAGGTCAAGGGAAAGTCCCATCAAGCAGGTTGCAGATGTGCTGAAAGTCCCCTCTTGGGCTACACCTGGTGGAGTAGTTTGGAAATGACAAACCCAATGAGTGGAGGGTGTTTTGCTTTCTCTTACCTTGAAGTTCCCTCCATAGTTGTGGTAGAGGGGCTTGAAAAACTCATTTGGTGTGGGGACGTATGTGATAACCTGGAGTTTTTTCTGCAAATACCTGAAACAAATGTGAAATTATTTTAGAAAAATAACTTTAATTTATAAAAATGTATAATTCATCTGTGTTGTGTCACGTTTGATTTCGTTTTCGGTACGTGACTTCGAGCAGAAGTAGAGTCGTGACCAAGTGCAACAGCTTTCTACCTCAAAACCAGTGGTGCTGCACAAAATGTTCTTCAAAGTCAAAGTCAAAAGTCAAAGTCTAATCTTAGTGTTGACTCAGAATAGAAAATGCCTTATTAAAAGGTACAGTGTATGAATCTCTTTTACATTAACACACATTTTACTGTAAATATCTTTAACAGAATGTTCTTAAATTGATCAGCTGTCACATCACATCACATTGTGCAATTCTTGTGTATTTTATATTTAGAACACTTAAGCAGAAAGTAATTGAGGTCAAAACTGTCTACGTCATGCCCCTCATGTGGCAATTATTTTACACTAATTTTTCTACACTGGCAAGAGAGTTTTGAGTGTTAATTGAGATTATCAGTAAATCAGAAATATACACTCAGTTTATGAGGTTTATAACGTACAACTAGCTAAAACTAGTGCAGTCTAAAACAATGTTGATGTGAACTTGAAGGATGCTAATCAGGGACTATTTCATATAAGGTAAAGAATTTGGAGGTAAATCAAATTTACCTGAAAAAGTGTATGTCAATGATAATAATGATATTTTTTATGGTAACCTGACCATGGCAAACAACAACAAGGTGGCTAGTGTTGTTAAAACAGCAGGGAGATTTTAGTTTGCCAGCAAAAATAATAATTAGGTGCTCTGTATAATATTGGTTTGTCTGTTTATAATGAAACTGAACATCTTCTCTGCTCTGTCTTTGAGATACTCCCCACTGTAGACCACCTCTGGTGAACAAAAAGATAAGTAAGGGATCCTTTTAAACACAATCAATGTAACAAACACAACAGTAGTAACATATTGTCATGCATGATTTCAGTTACATAAGTTCACTTTTATTGCTGTATTGCTGATTATTTGTGACGCATGCCATACTTATTATTTTTAATAGTGAGACCAAGAAGAATTTAATGGTCTGTATATTCTATTGTATTCGAGAGCGCTGCAATAAACCCTAATTTCATGAAGATTACGATGTTCAGTTTTTGCTAAAGCTGTTTCAGAGAGGTGTTGATTCAACATTATGATCATTTAGGAGGCTACACTTTATGGTATTGTTGAACTGAGAGGTGTTTCTAATAATGTGTCCACCCTCATTAAAGCAGGGGACAAAATATGGGAAAACACCTGCAATAACACAATAAAATTCCACAGCACTACGAACTGCAGCCTCCAAAATAGTCAGAAAGTTGACACACCATTATAACCTTCGTGACGGCAGGATTAGTTTAACTCTGTGTAGCTACCTACAGATGTCTGTGCAGCATACGCAGACTACTACTAATGAGATTCATTGCAAAGAGCTTATGTAAGCAGCTCGTTGAACCAAAACCAAAGTTGAAATCACTATAGCTCAAAGATGATGTCATCTAATATTGCCTAAACTGGGTAGACACAAACAGAAATACTTCATTCCAGTTCAAGTACAAGTACATTTACTTTTCTGAGCTTGTCTTTTTTTCCCATTGTAACTCTGTGCTCTTAATAAGTGGGGTGTTCTCGGTTGTTTGACACTGATGCTCTGCATGACTTCCTATGTCTGCTAGCCATTTCAGTGCAATGTGTCGCTGCACGTACAGCACAGCAGTGGTTTCTCTACATGTGGGAGGTGATGCCAGGAAAGTGTAGATTGAAGCTTTGCTAATCACTTACTGGAAGACAATGTGATGCTGACCTTAAGACTTAATCTGCTTTCACTTTGCTAAGTCATTTTTCTGTGCAGTGGATGCAGATTCAGTTATGTGTAAATTCAAACGGGTTTGCATAATTCATGTCTATAGTCTATAGTAATTGTTGGTTCAGTCCAAATATATTCTTTTTTTTTGGAACATCGACAGATGAGTTGAAGTTGTGTGGTAAATGGTATGAGGTGGCAAACCCCGCCATATTTTGGTAATTATAGAAATGTGGACCAGTGAGAATTTTAGGTTCAGCTGGCAACTCAGCACCAATGGCAACAAGGTTCAAGCTGATCCCACTGGAGCCACACATGCTTTAAAAAAGGAATGGAGGTAAATTCTCAAACTTGAAAAAAATGAAAGTAACTCCAGTGTTTACAGTACTCACGGTATTTGTGAAAAACACAGCAACAGGAGAAAAAGGACAACAACGATGGGTAGGAGGAAGTACCACCAATATTTATCAGTTCCTGTAAAAGAAACATAATATATAAAATACGTACTGGCTAAACTTATCGATAAACAAACTTCACACTTCCTGTTTCTGAAACATGGATCAGTGCAGAAAGACACACTTGATTCAGCATGAGACAAAAGTTGATTACATCCTGGTTTCAGGCTGGAAGGTACAATGCTCTTCTACCTTCAATCTCTGATTAAGTACCTGTAGTCCTCCATTGTGCAGCGGAACTCCACTCGCTCCATGGACCTTCATAGAGAACCCCAGGACACATTCTGGCCTTAACATCCACAGTATAGTTGTCATTTGGTTGCAGCTTCTTATGGTCAACGAGAACGTACTGCTCTTCTCCCACTGAAAAAGAGTGAACTGAATCCTGTAAGAAAGGAATAAAAAACAAAACAGCTTTACATGGGAGTCATCACTAGAGACAGTAATATACTGCAACAGCTCAAGTCCATTTTCAGTTTTTATTTTGGTGTTCTTGCTCCCATATTACCTTCGACAAGTCTTTGCTTTCTCTTAGGCGCACTGTGTATGTGAGACAGTTTTGGTTGTTGTCATGGTCCCAAGTGATGTTGTAGAACTCTAGAGTGTTTGTCACTTGAACATTTAGAGGAGGTAGAGGTTTCACTGTGAAAGTAAAGTCCCAAGGGGACCAGGGGAATATTATTAAATTGAAAATGTGTGTATGCCAAAAATTCACCACAACTGACAGTTGAACATAATTTTTAGCTTTTTTTCTTAATCTGGAGGGTAAAGCAGGTGGGTGTTTGCTGCCAAACGACAATCTGGGTATGCTGGGAAAGTTGCCAGTATTACTCTTGTCATTTCTGGTTTATAGTAACTCATTTAGACTATTGGTAAGAGGTGGGTATATTCAACAAGAAGGAACATGTCTAAAATGTGAAAAACAAAATACTGGAAGAATGAAGAGAAATTGACATTAAAACTTTCTTTAATTACTTTCTTTAAACATCTTTCACCCACATATTTTGCCACTAAGCATGTCATATGTAATGTAACTGCCGTGTTCATTTCAGTAATTCCAGAGGAATACTGAAATGTCAAGTCAAATAACTTACCAACATCACTCAGGTCCCAACTAGATGACTCATTGGCATTCATTATCACTTGATCAGCTTGACTGGCTGATGAAGTACATGTGGTTCCAATGCTTGCAACTTCATAAAAGTCTTCTGGATACATGACGCACCAGGATTGAGGAGGCTTGACTTCACAGCTGCCATTAACCACAACTTCTCCATCACTACAACAGATAAACAGTGTGTTTTAGTTTAGTAAGTTCTGTGACATCAGTCAACATCTCAGCTCTAAAAGTTGTAGTTTTGTAGTACAAGATTGATTTAAAGCAGAACTGCAGTGCAGGTATATAAAAAGCTCAAATTTACATCAGTCAGGTCTATTTAGAGCAAAAATACATTGGAGAGACATAAGCAAAGCCTAGAGTTGTTTACCTGCCTACTTGTTTCATACAAACAATTATGTGACGGTAATGCTTCCTGTTAGTGTGTTTCACTTAAGTCTCTTTCCTCGTATTCAGCTGCTAATAGTTTCTTATTGGAGCCCGGGCAATAACTTAACTAGCTGCAACTAAGGATGTTTTTTCATGATTGATTAATCTACCAACTGTTTGTCTCAATTAATTGAATTATTCTTTTGTCAAAAAACAAATAATCAATCAATAGTGAACAAACAAAATTCCCCACAACCCAAGGTGATGTATTCAAATTGATTGTTATTCTGATTAACGGTTCAAAACCCAAACATATATTTGTTGATGTGATACTTTTATGTTAAAAAAACAATTAACACAATATATTGTAGCCCATTGTTATAAACCAAACATCAATATCGGTCTCTAATATTTAGCATCAGTTGGGCTCTACTGCTTACATGTATGACAATAAAAAATTACATAAATCTCACATTATCGGATCAGTGAATGTGAATGTTAATATTGAAAACATTTTGGCAAAGGTGCAATAAAGTGCAGTGAGTCAAATATCTAATCAGCAAGTGTTTCCATTAGATCAGACCATTAGAGTTGTTCCAAAGCAACTGCTATGATACAAGAGTTACCCATAAGTTGCTCACAAGTCAATTACAACTAACGACATAGGATCTTGCTAATATTACTGTTATTATTATTATAATTACTAAGAATTACCCTAATTGGTGATCCTTGTCATTATTATTTAGTGGTTAAAATCAACAGCAAGCTCCCAGGCTACCATTTGGATTGAAGCTAGTGGTATGATGAAGTCGTGTATTGTATAATGCACCAACATAAAGCATATTCATTAACAGTCCCACTCAAGACAACTTGTACCTGCATGTCACTTCGATGGTGACAGGATATGTCGGCACAGAGCCTGAGCAGGAACAGTTCAGTGAAACATCGTAGTCCGTCGAGCAGATGACATTGCAAAAAGGCGTGACTGCAGCACAAAAGAGAAGTGCAGTCAGATATACAAGGTATAAAATGTAATATTCATGCTCTATGAATGTCTAACCCTTTAAATTTTTTGTTTACCAAGGAAATCACACTGAAATAAAGAAAAATATTTTCAAAAGAAACTTAGACACAACAATGTACATAAGTGAAATAGTCGGCTAAATACTAAATAGAGTACATTATTCATCATTCAATTCATACCAGTCAAAGTGAAAGACATTGATCAGATAAGCTAGATGAGCCAACTTACCATCGTGAACAAACAAAGTGAGGCCCCACAGCAACAATAAGAATGCAGGCTTCAGAGCCATGGGGACGACCCACTATTACCAGCCACTGGGTAGACCGGAGGAAACACAGCAGCTGAAACTAAATATAGATATAATCGTTAGAAATGTTTTTTGTGGTAAAAAAAAAGAAGAGAAAAAGTATTTAAAGAACCAAAAACAAGATTAAGCCTAAGGTTCCATCTCTGATGTGGTAAACAACATCATTAGCTTTACCACCAATAAATACATACATTGATAAGGAGCTTCTACACACTTAGGTGTCAGAATTAAAAAGTAATTAACAGATTCTCTCAAACCAGCTCAAAACATAACATCACTTATCAACATTTTCTCTACTCCGTCTTACCCTTTTTAAATTCAAAATGCAGCCACTTGATCAGTCAACGAGCTAACAGAGTCCCCAACGCGGTGATGCCTGTGTGAGAATGTTGAGTGGAACAATGTTCATGACATGTTCAGAGCGAAAGCGTCATCATCATCAGTGGCGTGACTAGGATGTGGTTTCAAACCCTTTGAGTGGTGTCTGTGTGGTGCCTTCCCACCACATCCACACTGCTGCTATGAATATGCAATTGCTACCCAGAGAAAAAAAAGTCAACAGGAAACTGAAAATGATCTTTCTAATTCTAATATCGTCATTATATGTTTAACACGTAAAGGAAGGAAGACAAATAATTATAGATTCTATTGAAATGACAGAAATTTACAGAGATATTTATTAACTTTGAGCTTGTTCCGCAAACATGTGTTATACTGTCACAAAATGTATTAATTCTTACTAAACACCTCCTTGCTCATATCACTTACATCATTTACTCAAAATTTGCCTAATACATGTTTCAGTACTGAGATGATTCTACACATTGACACCACAGATGGTTTTTGATACCTTTCAAAAGACCCTTATCATACACCTACATGTCTACAATAACAATTTATCTGGGGTTTTCAGTGGTTTCCAACAGAATGCGTCTTTCTTGAAGCTAAATGAGTCATAGTGCTGCTGTGGAGCCCCTCAGAGCTAATTTTTAACGATCTCTAAATATTATTAAATCAGAGCACTGTGAGCTGTATGTACACATTCTGTGCTTGAAGTTTAACCATAAGAATCACGATGGATGTGTATATTATGTGGCATCTAAATTATATTACAATAAAACAACAGTTTATTTTTTTTTAAATGGGTGGGCCTTTGTGGTATTCAAATCCCCAAGTAGGTGTGCAGACGCATCTCTTTTAATGTCATTGTACCGCTATTAGTCAAAGCTAAATGTCGTTCTATCACACAGAACTTCAGCACCTGGACTAGTTTAGTGGTATATGAACAAAGCAAGGGTTGGACGATATATCCTTTGTGACCGATAGGTCGACCAATAGAAAATGAATTGGTAACTATTTAGATAATTGTTTACTGTGAGTAGCTGTACAAGCAACAATGTCAAACATTTGACAGTTGCAGCTTCTCAAAGGAAGAACTGACTGCTTTTCCTCGTCACATTATATTAAATAAAATATGTTTGGTTTTTGGACTGTTGCTTGGAGAAAACAAGACACTTGTTGATTTGTTTAACCTTTTTTCATTGGCATTTTGCACTGTTTCAACAAGGAATTGATTAATTAAAATAATATGCAGATTATTGGCAGTTGCAGTCCTGGCTGATAGTTAGATTAAAGGAGGAGATACATTTCCCCATAAGGATTAAGTATAAGTTAATGTAATACTATAGTACTGCATTACCTTGTAAGATGCTGACGCAGCTGCGTCTGTCTGCTGTTGCTATGTCATTATAGACATAGATAACATTATGAGCACTGACTGGTGATGTGAATAACACTGATTATCTCATTATCATGGCGCCTATCAGTGGGTGGGGTATATTAGGCAGCAAGTGAACATTTTGTCCTCAAGTTGATGAAAATGGGCAGTGTGAGGATTTGAGTGACTTTGACAAGGGACAAATTGCGATGGCTAGACGGCTGGGTCAGAGCATCTCCAAAACTGCAGCTCTTGTGGTGTGTTCCCGGTCTGCAGTGGTCAGTACCTATCAAAAGGGGTCCAAGGAAGGAAAAGCACTGAACCGGAGACAGGGTCATGGGTGGCCAAGGCTCACTGATGCACATGGGGAGCAGAAGGCTGTGGTCTGATCTAACAGACAAGCTACTGTAGCTCAAAGTACTAAAAAAAAAGTTAATGTTGGTTCTGATAGAAAGGTGACAGAACTCACAGTGCATCACAGTTTGTTGTATATGGGGCTACATTATGGCTGACAGCATACAGCCAGTGGACAAAATGCAGCTGCTCTGTCATGTACAAACACTTATGATGTCACTAGAGGTCACTGTAGATAAGGTTTAACATAAACCTGCAGCAGCTGACCTTCTCAATTATTTTGTTTCTCTTCTGCCAACTATAGACTAGACTGAAAATGCATTTACTTAACTTAATCTAGTTCTTTTATCATAGCTATTTTTTTTACTTTTATCCTAACTACCACATACAGTAGAAAACATGGTTTGTGAACAATGTGCACAAAGTGCAAACATTGAGTGCACTGAGTTTTCTGGTCAAAGTAGTCTCACTCTTGTTTCCAAGAGGAGCGTTTGTTTCTGTTGTGTTGACTCATTCTCTGTGTGAGAATATGCAGATGTGCAAAACCTTTGGCCATAATCAGTGCATGGGAGAAACCAGGTTGGTTTGTAAAAATAGAGTCAGAAAGAGAAACTGCAGCTGTAATGTGGTGTGGGAAGTGAGGTGGAAATAGTTTTTCCAATGTTGTTACAGTGTCATATTAATATATAATTAAATAAAAAATATATAATATATATATAATACAATCAACATGTAAGTTGGTCATCTCTTAGGTGTGACCAATTAATCTTGTTATTTTATTTTCTGTTTTACTTCCACGAAATGAAATGTAGATTTAATTCTGAAAGAGACAGTTTGTCTTCTACAGAATTTCATCACTTAGACACCAGAATGTCATTTTAATAACTGTATGAAGAGTTGTGTTTTATATCTCTATCAGAGGGGACATTTATATGGCTCATGTCATTTTGATCAGATAATTTTCACATCGAGAGAGATTGTTAAATATGTCACATTGCAATGTCAGTGTTTATTATATAGATATTTAATATGATAAAGGGTCTGATCATTTATCCATTTAGCCATGTTATTGCTGACAACATTTACCTCTGTTTTGTAATGATTTAAATGTTCTATTATTACTACTATTAATAGGTTAAAGTGTGCTTTGGTAAAAGCTAAGCACATGCAGGCATAATGAAATCAATATTAAAGCAAAAGGTAAGGTAAAGGTTATAGATGATGACACATTGTGAAATTTAAGTTGTGTGAGAGATAATCTACCTTTGTTGGTTTTTTTTTCAGTCCTCTTCTTATACTTCCCCTAACTATTTTATCATAGGGCTCGTGACTTTACTGGCATGCAAGTCCACAGTTCACTTGAGGAAAGGAGATCTATGCTGTCGAAGCACCACATGAATTGCAGAGGTTGCAGAATTGCCATCTTTGCACTGTGCACCAACTGATGGAGGCGTCGCTGCTTCAATACAGCGAGAGAGAGGGAGAGAGAGAGAGAGAGAGAGATGTTATGAACAAAGAGAGATCCATGTTTTATGCAAGGGGGAAGTAAGACTGATGTACAGTATCTAGGCTTTCTCGAAAAAGTGAGTGTCAAACAGTGAATGATTATGATATGGATATTACTCAACGGGGTCAAAGACAAACCTGTGATGAAACTTTTAACATAGTTTACAAATCTGTGGGCCAAATAGAAATAACAATACATTATATTAAATAAATCTAATTTTAAATAAGGGGGCTTTTGTGGCACCTGTCTTGATAATCTTACACCTGGGGGATCTTATGGTATTTTTAAAAAAAATACCTGTCCCCAAGAGAATATGAGTGTTACTACTGCCCCTAATAATACGCACACACACACGCACACACACACACACACACACAGAGAGAGAGGGGGAGGGAGGACCTAATTTCAGTAACGGGAATATACTGTAGAAAATGCCAATTCCTATATAAGTAACTCACACACTGGGGAATTCCGTCATGTATCTCTCCTTTCGTTTTCACATCGTAGTCTCTCATAATATGAATCAGTTGTTGTGTGACTTGGTTGATACAATCTCCTCCAATTCATTTTGAGTTTGCTCCAACTTTAAATCCACTTTGTCCCCTCAAGTATACAGTTATTATTTCCACGTTTAGCTACAGCATTATCTAAAACGAGAACCTCCACTTGTGGTGCATTATATAGGTGTGACTTTAACGTTACGGAGTTATTTATTTTCTACAAATAACCGCCGATTCCACACACAACCCGTTACGAACATCAACTAGTTAACAGTTAACAACAGCCCCATTTCTCACCACAACAAACAGTACTTATATTCTGACTGGGAGCACATGGCATTTCGATTTTAATTATTTGCTCTCATTGCCAAGAAACACATTAAAAGTGAAAGGAAGCCCAGCCTCAACAGCAACCACATACTGTATATAAACTGTCAGCAATAACGGTTAGACCATATATTTAGAAACATTGCTGTATGAGTCCGTGCGTAATGCGTCTGCGCGGTCGCCATATTGCGACGGTGTGTATCAATACTGAGAGATGCAGACTCCACCACACAATCGACTGTAACTCGCTTAATTCTGAACCGATTTTCATGGAACTGATTTTTTGTTAGAAATGTGAGAAACTGAACATGATACTGTTTACTTGTATGCATAAATCCATATAAACTTCCATGAAATGTGAAATTTGGAAAGCCTACAATGTGTTGATACCTTATGTATAGCTACTGTTAATGGTTGATACTTTATGCACCAGCTCACACTCACACACACACACACACACACACTAGTATGCATGTATTTATTGCTTTCATTCTGTACTGACTAGCAGTGGTTGTTTTTTTGTTTGTTTTGAATATTTTGTTATTCTGTTTGTACATCCACATTCTGCACATGCCTGCAGCAGTTTTCTTATTTCTTCTTATTTCTTATTCTGTTTTTGGCATAGAGTACTGATAAGTACCCAATATCAGGTTCAATTTCTCATGTTTATAACAAGCCAAATTTAATAAATGCTAATAAAAGGCTACTTTTCTAGCATATCACCCTTTTTCACAACAAACAGTAGCTATATACTGACTGAAAGCAAATAAAATGTCTCCACAGAATGAGGAATAATCAGGCGTGTTAGATCATTACAATACTTACAGTTGAAGGTCGATCACAAAGGAAGCAGCGTCCTGTTGACTCAAGCTCTTGTTCAGGCATGAAGCAGATGGAGGAACTGATTCCATACAGAGGATGTAGCTAGTTAAAAGTAAACCTTTATAATGTTAACAAATTAACCCCTCGTGTTGCAGCATATGTAGAATGTGAAAAAGCAGCACAGAATACAATGCAACCCAAACACACATGGTTTGGAGGCACGCAG